CATTAATATATTAAATTTATTAATACATAAATATTTATATAATATATAATATTAATATAGTATTAATATTAACTGATATTAATATAAAATTAATTATATTAATAGGTATTAATATATTAATGATTGCAATGCTGAGAGACATCCCATTTAGCCGGCAACAAAGTATGATTCTCGATAACAATCATGAAAACGAGATAGAAATCCAACGCGAAGACGCGACGACGCGAAAACGCGATATCGCGACAACGCGACGCATCGTTGCTCGTACGGCACGATGACGGCAACGACGACGCACTAATGTGCGTTCAACGCACAAATGGGCGTGCCACATATGAGCCATTGTGCGACTCGTGGCAATGCTGTGTTGACACGCGACGCGAAAGACGCGAAAGCCGTCCGCGGCACGATGACGGCACCGACGACGCGCTGCTACTTTATTGCTCGAGTATCGCCGCGCGAATGATAACACGTAAGAAAGGAATTTGAACGTCTCGCCCCACTACAGTTCTATTCAAGTGTCTTTGTATAAATGATAACAAGGCCGTGATACATAAACAATGTTTACGCGCGCCAATGTTTACATCGCCAAGACCGAATACCATGTTATTGATAATTCGCCGCCGAAAATATTTTGCGTACTATGACGTACATACAAGCGGAATATTAAATTATCAAGTATTTTAAATTATAGATATAGATGAATTATTTAATAAACGATTAATATATCACAGAGCTTATCGTTATGTTAATTATTTGGACTTGCGATTTGACTTGCTTATAAAGAGAGAAAGAGAGAGAGAGGGAGGGAGAGAGAGAGAGAGAGAGAGAGAGAGAGAGAGAGAGAGAAATCGCGGCCAAATAATAATTTACAATAATTTACAAAACTAAAACATAAATGTTTTATTTCAGAAAATAATTTTTTGTAAATAATTTTAATGGATTTATGATATTTTTAATTAAAATGACAAAAACATGATATATAGTTTGGATAATTTTTACTTAGATAAGGAAAAAAATATTTCATCTAATTTTTAAATTTATATCGAATTGAAATTTATCCGAATAATATCGCATTTTTTTATGTCATTTTATTTTAAAAAATCTTATTAATCAAATAAAATTACGTTCAGAAATATAAAAATTTTATAAAGGTTTTTATAATATTCAATAAATGCTCTCGTTAGACACTATTTTTGCTCCGAAGCATTTGGTGGACAAATGAGGGCAAAGAATCTTGTTCTTCAAGCGAAAATAATGTTAAGCGAAGTTTTTATATGTATAAGTTGCTTAAAATGCTTGATAATTTTGTTTCAAGAATAAGAAAAAAGTAAAAGCAATTTATTGTAACTATCTTCTACATGTTATATACTTAAAAACTAGGAAAAAAATTATTAAGAAAATTTATTTTAAAAAATTTTTATTTTATGTCACATGCGTATATACATAAAAATACTTCAATAATAACTTATTATCGCTGTCCGTAATATATAATGGCAAAACATCATGCACAGCTATATAATAAAACATTAATAAATCCATAATATTTCTCTGCAATTTTGATCCACAATTATGGATCTAGCACGCACATGCACCAACCGGTTGTTTTACCGTAGCACCAAAAAGTGAATCTGGCCATGTGCCGGCTCTAAAATGGATCTAGTTGACGTTACTCTACCAGCTAGAAAAAGTGTCTTATGAAAAACGGCGGCGTGACCCCTTTTAGGCTTCTCTTTGATAACACAGCATGAAATGGTCATCTTACTCAATATATTCGTCTCAAAACTTTTTTAGGAAAACCATATATTTATCTTAATTTTCAAGTTTATATTATCTTCACGATATTTATACAAATAATTATCACGCGATAGATATAAATTAATCTCACCCGACACACAAATTATATAATTGAAAATTAAATTATAAAATAATTTTAAATTTTAATAATTATATGTGTGTGAGAAAAAAATATACAAATAATGCATTAATAAAATTATTAATTAAGCACACACTTCTCATCTAATTAAATACACAATAATTATATATAATCATAAAATCATGAATATGCATATAATATTGAGAGTTTGAATTATTTCTTTCTGTTTTGACGATAAATAAATACGAATCATTTATGTGGCGTCATCTAATGAGAATGCAAGCCACTCTCGTCACCGTATTTAGTATGATGTTTTTTTTAGCTGATACAATAGCGTCAACTAGATCCATTTTGCGTCAAAATGGATCTAGATGGCGCTACTGTACCAACTAGAAAAAGCTTCGTACGAAAAATGATGTTGCCCCTCTCATCTCATGCTTCTCTCTGTTATTCCGAGACCACGGGCTCTAGGCTTTAGGTTATGTCGTCGTGTTTATAATCGTTCCGATCAAATTGATCCGCGCTCATCTCCCCTCGCGCGCACGATCCGTCATCGGCGGATTTCAGGCGGATCGCCTGAGCGAAATATGAGAAGGATACACATCGTGACATCGACTGGGACATCGGCCGAAAAATCCGCAGCCGAGCTATTGTGTCGTGTTCGCGAGCTAATTAAATAACGACCCAAGGTTCGCATCTCTTGTATCCATTCTTTTTTTCTGTCTATCTCTCTCTCTCTCTCTCTCTCCCTCTCCCTCTCTTTCGTTTCGTCTCTGGTATCTGGTATCTGAACTATGCAGATATATCCACGTAGGCGACGATCGAAAGAGAGATTTTTTTTCGCCTTTGAGAAGGTATACACCTGGTTTGCGTCGCGATCGATTTCATGCGTGACGTTTTTCGTCAAAAGTACCGCTGCGAAACCTTGTCCTATTTCTGTAAGTTGCATGTGTGATGTGCGTACACTTATATATATATATATATATGTATATATATATGTATATATATATATATATTATGTATATATGTATATGATATGTATAGTGGCACGTGATTACTCGGCTGTGTGACATTCGCGCGTAATCGTGGCCGGTTACGAATCTCTTGTGACCTTGTTGAATGTGCGTTTCGTCGTCGCTCCGTCTTGTGGCTGCATCGTTTGTTTATACAGCTTCAAATACATAGCTATATAGAAAACTGTTGCTTTATTACCGATTTTAAGAGTAAACGCTGCAAAGAGAACTGATTTTTATCTGGATCAATGTTTAATCGGGTGTTATACAGATAACAGAAATGTCAAAATTTAATAGACTAGTCCGAATACGTTTTAATTTCTTTTGTTCTTAAAAAAAAAAAAATGGAAATTCAGTGCGTTATTTAGAGATGCACATTCAAAATTTATTAAATATATATTTTTCAATAAAATGTTCAAAGAATGATTTAAAAAACTAATACAGATTACCTAATTGTCTAATTAATTTTAATCAATTTGTTATAAAACTAATATTATAATAATAATTTGCAGTAATATTAATTGAATTAATTTTGAATTAATCATCTATCTGTATAATAGATAGATTGAGCTTTTGATATCTTTCCAACGCTAACTGATGGCTCATCTTTCACAATACAGAATATTTTTATCATTCATTGACAGAATACATCCGTGTTATGAGTGTTGGTTTATCCATGTATGATGGCTTGGAGAGTGAGAATACTCTTGATAATGGCCTTGATAGCACCGGGAGTACTACAAAGAAATTAACTAGAGGTATCTCCCGTGCAACTGAAAATGCCGCAATTGTGTCTTATGCTCGCTCGCAATTGGCAGCTTTAGGGGCTCTTGATACACCAGAATACACATTTTCATTGCCAGACTTATCTGTATATCCAGGTATTTTTCTGTGCTTTAGTGTGAATGCTGTGCAAATATTAAGTTCCCTGGTTAACATGAAATTGACATTTCACATTTAGATTCATTTCGCAAATTTTTGGAGAAGGATCTTTTAGAGAACGGATGTCTCAGTTCCTTGGAAGCTGCAGGTCGTTTAAATTGGTGGTACAAAAGTGGAAGCACCAGAATCCTTTGGCCATTGGCAACATCAGGAGATGGCAACTGTCTACTTCATGCTGCGTCATTGGGGATGTGGGGTTTTCATGATAGATTACTTACCTTAAGAGAAGCATTGCATAATACTTTGACCAAAGGAGAATATAGACATGCTCTTTTTAGGTATAAAATGAAAGATGTTAATCTTAAAGATAATTGAAATAAAGTATGAATATATATATATGTATATATACACATATTTTTTAGGCGATGGAAATGGTGGCAAACAGGCCTAAATGCAGCTGCTGGATTATCGTATACGGAAGCGGAATGGCTATCAGAATGGCAAAGTATAGTGGATATGGCCTCTCCTACAATCAGAAACCAAACCGCTGCCTCTTATCAGAGTCTCGAAGAGGTACCACAACATCCTCCCATCTCCTCGTCCAATAAGGATGGCTTTATTTTAGGAACTCTACAATTTACTTTCGTTTTAGATACACGTTTTAACCTTGGCCCATGCTTTAAGAAGGCCTATAATAGTCATTGCGGAAACTATGCTGAAGGATGCTGATGGAGTAGCCTTAGCACCAATTCCGTTTGGTGGAGTGTATTTGCCTTTGGAAGTACCACCTTCGGATTGTCATAGAACTCCTTTATTTCTAGCATATCATTCTGCTCATTTTTCCCCACTTGTGACTGTAGACAGATGCAATGATTATGGCACCGCATGCGGCGAAGGTGTCAGTATACCACTAGTGGATCCAGACACAGGAAAATTATTGCCAGTCTTATTCGCTGTAGATCCTGGTCCTGACTGGGATTGGGTAGAAGGTTCACGAGAGTTGTTAACTTGTACACAGGATACTGTACGTTAATCATCTTGTATATTTATTAATAGACTGTTGGCAAAATAATTTCTATTATTAGTAAAATAATAGAGTCTTCTTTATATTTTATTGCACACAGATGGAGATCTTGTTGCGACAGTATTTGGACTGCGAGTATCAAAGTTTTACATCCGAAGATATTGACAGGCTTTCCGATACAGATGGTCCTTTGTCGAAGACAGCAAAGCAACTGTTAGAGGTCGCGAAACAATTCGGTTCTATTGGTAAATCTGTCAGTAAAAAAATATGGTCTATGACTAATAAGAGGCCAAAAAGCCCGCCTTCTTCGAGCGGCGGAATTTCCACAGAAGGTTTGTTGTGTGTGAGGATAAAAAGTAGACGTCATCAGTTCGTGGATCAAATGCTTCAGAATTATCTACAATGTGCTCATGCAAGGTATTGTGACGAATTATGCGATTTTGTTGTATTGAAGAAAGATTATATAGATTTGCTTTATGTTTTGTATAGATATTTGCAGGATCATCAGGTAGACGATACAGGTAGCGAATTGAATTATGGTGCTGGAAAATCTAAATTTTACGCTGCCAGCGATCGCGGTAGTCATGCGAGTGTTAGCAAACTGTTACCCACTAACACAAATAAAGATCACACGCTTTATCTTTCGAGGTAATATGGCAAAATGTAAATCGCTTAATCGTACATCAAGAGATTCCGATCCATAAATCAATATTTTTTCCATAGATCCACATTTTATAATGACCAATCTTCGTCAAATAATATGGGGCCAGAGATTTGGAACAGTAGTAACAATTTAAAGGTATGTCAAACAACTCTTAAAAGAAATAAAATTTCTTGAGTAAGATTGTACTATTTATATGTAGGGCACTGTACAGGAGTGCCGCAGCGAACACTGCCAATTCTTTGGATCGCCGGAAAACGGATACTATTGCTCGCAGTGCTCGGCTAATCGAAGTTAAGCAACCGTCCTTAATCACACATGACAATAATCTCGATTTAATATCGCTCGAATTAAGTTATTAAATAATTAATATAATATTAGAGATATAAGATATACAAGAGATAAAGCTTATGAAAAATATCCCACCAACCTATTGTCGGTAACATTACGCTATTTGTTTTTAATTTTATTTCTTTTTTCATGTTTTCTTGTATTTATTAACATTTTCCATTCGAAAACGGCATATCAGATGCACAGGGTTCAAGTAAATGACAATGCGTTTATAGTACATCATCGCATTTCCAAGTGATGAAAAATTTACAAACTTAGCAATCAGAGAACAAAAGTTTTCTTTTCGTTTTTTTTTTTAAATTTCGATATTGTGCCTTCTGTCGTGTATGCGCGGAACGAAAAATGGAAATACTCCTTTATATACTAGTTATAAAAACCTTTACACCCACAACTACCTCCACAGTTTTCAATTATAGAGTGTGGTCGGTATATATAATTATTAGTGTTTTATAATTATTTGTGGATTCCAAAGGTTGATGCGGAAATATTATATTTATAATCTCAATGTCCTGTGCAATTGCTGTGTATGTAAGCTGTGTGAAAAATAAACCATATTTTTATATACACCAGGTCATCATTTACCGTTGTATAGAAAAGAATATATGTCAGTTAAGAAGATACACAAACCCAGTATTTTGCCATAATAAAATGTATTTACATATATTTCTCGCATTAGCCTATCATCATGTGAAAAAGGTCATAATTAATTGTAAACGATTAATATTACCTGACACATTATCTACCTACCTACTTACATTCACTAATATATTGCCAAAGCGTGTGCAGTAGTATAACGTTAATTTCATTAATAATTGTGCGAAGAAATCTTTCCGTTTGTATGTATGTACAAAAAAAAAGGAGAAAAAAGTGCTGTCTAATATATAAAATTATGTCAATATTCAGAATTTTTACGTATTTCTAATTATTAAATAGTTAGAAAAAACAAAATAAGAAAAGATATTACAATATATATTGAAGGAACTAGGGAGAATGTTTATATATTAGCTACAATATTACTACAAGCGCAGAGTATATGTTTTAGACGCTATAATGAAATTTAAATATCCTTTTGTCTTTATTTTATCGTTTAAACACTTTCAACATCCCACCTCTTGGACTTTCAATGAAATAAATCGCTAATAAAGAAATAAGTAAAAGAGTACCACTTATATATTTTGTGTCTTTAAAATTGAGTTTCATATACTATTTACAATATCAGTCATACGAGCACAGATACACTACCACAGAGTCGATTAGCTGTATCCGATATATCTTTCTTACTTAAGTGATAAGCTTATGTTTAACCCAGTTCATTTGGAAAGCTTTATTTTGTGAAAAAAATCATATTTAATAACAAGAGAACCTATAGAAAAAATCATGAGCTAAAGTAACTTTGTGGCTGTAACATTATGCGCGTATAAGTTCTATCAGAAGTTATGTTTCTCAAGACACTTAAAGTGTTGTTCACAATTAAAATTAAAATATTTTTAATAAAAGAGAGTTATCCGTTCTTAACATTGCGGTTAGGTTTGTCATTCAACAACTCACGAAAAGATAATTAATATAATTGTTGTTAATTTCGCTTTGTAATTGCAGCCAAATCTGTAAGGCAAAAATATCGAATCGATTACATCGTCGCTTGATATATGTATGTACGTTCATATACAAATAATTATAATAATATCAATAATATTAATAATGTAGATCTCCTAGAGAATATGAGAGAGAAGCGAAATTTATTATTAATAACTTTTAACAGGTCTCTTCTTCGGCAGCTTATTTTTTTTTCTTATTCCTATATTGGATTCTTCTCTCTCGACAAGTTTGTGTTATAACATAAATAATTATCCCAAAAAAAAACGCAAATTTTAGATACAAGCATTACGATTAGGATCAATTGATGCACCATTTACAACTTTGAACATGGCGTGAAACTAGATTCCCAATATAAAGTCGAATGTGTACTTATAGTACTTACATATGATCATTTTTATTATCGAATGTTTTTCATTGCAAGGTAAATCAATTGGCCCATTTTCTATTTGAAAGATTCAAGTGCCAGCCACAACACAACAAGCAAAGTGCTCCTATATATTCATAGTACTTATATCCATACTGTAGCACATATTGCTTAAGTTAAAGAGCTTGTAAACACGGGATTCTCTAATTTCGTACAACAATTAGTAACACTCTAATTTTTCTCTTAATCCTCGCTCAGCGAAAATAGGGCTATTTTTTACCTGTGATTATTCTATTCATTTTTTCATTTTCACGTCTTTCCCTTCTTCAAGGAAGGAAGGGGGCCGTTTATGACATTTATAATGTATAATACGTATACTGTATGCATAATTATACATATATGTACAAAGCAAATAATTTGAATTTTTTAAACATATCATAATAAAAACATAAATAAAAACTTATCATATAAGTGATCGAATGTGCTATAAGTCTGATAAATATTTTGGCAGTACGAGGATTAAGAAATATTGTCTTTCACAAACCATCGACAAACAGACAGCCCATATTACTCTGTATAATAAAACTTAAAAAATGTGAAAGCATATAGTACATAGACTTATGTGACTACCTCACTTTTCTGTTTTTTGTACACAAACAAAAACTTATGATTATGATAAACTGTAACAAAGTCGACTTGTTTCAAAGAAACATATAATAATTGACGATGGTTTAAAGAGAGACATATATAATTTTTTACTTAAATCGTTTTTGGAGTGTTTGATTCTCTTATGCCAAGAGAATGCTTACTTGAATTTTTGTAGCGCGTCCTGAAAAGAGAAATAGAGCGAGAGATCATCCGGTTTAGAAGCTCGTTAATTTATTAATCTATACAGAACTGATATATATATATATATAATAATTAGCGGTTCGGTTTTTTTGTTGTATTAATATTATTTAAGAAATGGATCACGATTCTCCGTTGCCACTATCGTCGCCGTCCTCATAATCGGTCGCGCTTAGCTGCTCGTCCTCATCGTCATCTAGCTCATATTCGTCATCGTAGAAATCTGTCATGTCTAGCTGTTGTTCGGCTGGCCTCGCTCGAGTCTTTATGCAGTAATCTTCCAGAGTTACGGGCACGACGATACCTTCCTTTTCGGCTTCCATTTTGGCAGCTTGGGCTTGTTTCCTATATAAATAGAAAACACATGCATGAAATATATATTGACAAAATACTACCTAGCCCATTACGGCCTATGCTCGCAACAGATATTCTTAATGAGCGAAAAAAAAATTATAAAAAATATAGAGTGAACTTATAGGTATTATATTCCGTTAAATTGGAAAAAAGTTCCCAAATTTCAACAATTATAATATATATAATTAAAAACAAGATCTCACGTTGTTAAGTTATCCTAGATTTAAGATTTAACCAGATACTGCCTTATCAAGCGCACTGCCGCTGATATATATTCTTATATTTTATATGAGATTGAGTGTACACATATGTATTTTTTTAATGATACAACTTCAATTATGCATATTTATGTATGATTGAATGCATAATTTATGTATAATTTAATGACAGGAAAAAACGTAAGACTCAATGCATATTGTTTACAATGCAAATTATATTAAAATTATATCATCGTTTTTAAACAATCGTTCTTATTTTGATTATAGTTAGAGGTAAATAATAATAATTTTCCTAGATAGATTTATGTGACTATTCCAGTATTTAAATGTGTACATTATGTTGCTAATAATCTCGCGCCCGTTTTCGCAGCTATCTATCACATATAATATAACTTTTAGCACGCTATTATGAATCCAATTTGGCGATATAATTCCAACGAAAACGCGCACAAAGTTCTATGCGACCGCGTGACGTCACGCGACAGCATTATTGACGAGATCTTACCTTATGATATTTTCATATTCTTTGTCTCTCCCTTTGGAATCACGCCAACGTCTATACATGACGGATGCGTCCACGTTGGCAGGACTATATGTGTTGGGTTCGTTCAACAACGAGATCACCGAGAGCAGGATAGTTCTGACACAAAAATCAATTAATTATCCTAAGAGTCTCGAAGATTATAGCTCTTACAAAGACAATTTTTATTTTCTTTTTGTTTTACCTGACATTTTGCGTCGGATTCCACCTCTCGCAAGGCAGCTCGCCGCTTTGTGGATCATCTACGGGTGGATGCAGGATTGATATGCACAGATCACCGTTCTGTACAGAGAAAGAAAGACTCTCAGACCTGTATCGATTTTCTTAACATTTTTACTGCCCACCTTTCTTCATTTTCGCGACTAATAATGTATCAGACGCTTTGTCTTGTTATGCGACGAAACGAAATTCACGCATGTTATTTTCAGAAGTTTCGCTCATCGCATTGTACGTTCGCTTGTTTACTCTCGCTCTTGCCGAATTTATATATACTAAACAACTATTTAAAACTTAAGAGTACAATAGGAGGCTCGCGCGCATCATCTTGAAAGGATATTTATGTATAATCCTATTTTCTATTTAAATATATTAAATATATTATGATTTTTTTAGAAGATAGAGAGAAATTAAGGAGAGCCACATCGTGCAAAGCACGGTGACCTCGGTACTTCTTCCGTGTTCGTTGCCTCTGAGAAGGCATCATCACTCGAAGGGCATGGTACCTTTTCGGTCGTGATTACAGAGAAATCATCGAGGACATCGCGATTCATGCGCTCTACGCCATACTTGGAGACGAGAAACTTCCGAGATGATCTCTGAAGCTGAGATTATGCGTATACGTTAACGCGCGACATCTTACATAAAAAAAAAAATCAATACATGAAAAAAAAAACGTGACTGTAAATGTCGTAAAAAAAAGAAAAAATTGCGAGGTCTCGTCGCGCACGTTTCCTCATAAGATCGACTCTATCTCTCCTGCGCGAAGACGTTCGGCAAGTAGGACAAGGTGCGTCGTGGTTTCACCGTGGCTCGGAGCTCCGAACACTTCGTAATAAACCGCGAAGGCGAAGGCGAGCTCCTCGAGTAAATGCCCGGCACTTGACACGACCGACAACGAGATAGGCATCGCTGTGTTCGCGCATGCATTTGTATGTAAAAGCGGCTACGTACATAAGATCGCGCTTATTACAATCGGTAGAGCTTCGGATCCATCTAGAGAGAGACAGAAAGTACATATCTATTCCCGAATTTGTATTTTGATACTATCTTCTTCTTTCGCGTAGAAAGATGTAAAAGTTTTAAAAAAGATAAAATTGACTTTATATATATTTATGATTTTCTATATTTTATTTATATTTGTAATTTTCTATCTTTATTTATATTTATAATTATAATTTTAAATCGCTGTTTATATATATATAATGGTTTGATGTCAAAATCACTTTGCGTATACGAAGCCAAATTAGACAATGCCTTTGTATTTTTTATTCTTTGTCTACTGCGTACGATAGTTTATACTATACTATATCTATACTGTACATTGCTGACGATTGTTTACGCGTAGACCGAGGAAGATTCGCATAATGCGGCAATACTCACGTACATACGTATAAATAATATGAATTTCACGACGGGGAAAGTTGGTCTGCGAGAAGAGCGAATCGTACACGTGTTAAAGCACCGTACACACTGTATATACCGGGTAACCTTTCTACAACGATCTGCTTCGATTGCGAAACACCTTTATATATTGGAGCAGATGCTGTTTCTTCGAGAATTTGCGCAATGTGTAATAGATTATCACCGAAATAAAATTTTACGCGGTGGAGGAAAAGCGGATATGAGTCGCGTAATTAATTTTCTTTGTGTAATTAAGAGAGAGTTACTCTTCTACAGTCTGTCCCGTTGAATCGCTGTATTTACACTCCGCAGTTAATACGGCTTTATAATCACGTTTAATGTATAAAGAACGGAAATGATATATAGAGTGTACTAAATTTCACTAGATATTTTGTATCTAAATGTATACTGAAATACAAATCTGTATTAAACATACAGATGTTCTTAGCGTCTTGAATATACAATGGAAATAAGACCCTAACGTTGATATTTGTAATGTATAATAATTACAGTTGTATAACAAGAAGCTATTTGGCTTATCAATCGATTAGCAAACAGGTCAACCGTTTTGGGCTTTCGAGTCGAGATAGGAGGAAATTGATACTAATGTAACACGCATGAAGCACATGTGAAAAACACTCGAGCAATATAAAAATAGAGCAAGAAATTTATTTTCTGCAATTTAACGATTAAAATATTCTTTACCGATCTACAAACATTACGTACGTATCTACAAATATTTGATTACGCCTTCGTGTTTGTTTCCCCGTGATATATACGTCATCTATTTTATTTCGTATGTAACTAATAGGGAGATGCTGAGAGAGAATGATTTATCCGTAAACTCTAATTAATTTTCTCTTCGACAGCCCAGACTTAAAAATAAAAAAAGATGCTCGCGTTTGCCTCGTTACTTATAACACGTTCTCGTTGCCATCCCTATCGTCGACGGGCGAGTGGACACGGATGTCCACACACGGGCTTTCGACGGTCATTGACTTCGCTTCGCTAGCCTCCGAAGGGTCATACACGGCGAACGGCGAGCAGTAGATGCGACAAACACAACAAGCGAGGTCGATAAGCATATGGGAATGTGATAGTTTTGTGCAAAGGCAAATGGTACCATCGTTAACACGTAAGAGAAGAACGCGGAAATAAATACACATTCTCATTCGACGATTATCTCGATCTCTCGAAGGAGAAATTTTCCTTTCCTTCGTTCGCGAAATTTTAATACTTTAATCGTGAGACACAAAAGTAGCGGTTCCGGTTTCGATAAGAATCTCATATAAATATAAAACTTCGGGATATATATTTCTATTTTATATAATTAATATTTCATTTTACAGATAACAAGCTAGAATAGGAGAATAAATAATGGCGAGATTTAAAGACCGCGATGTAGTACTTGTGCGTGTAGCAAACGATCGTCATGCTTTCAAAGTGGCGAACAACACGACGACCACTTCCTCGAGAAAGAAGTACTCGCGGATTATCAGCGGTCGCGCTTCGGACTCGCGTTCCTCGCTAATCGTCGCGCGAATTCACACGTCGGCGGATGTGGCGAAATAACGGGAATCGCGCGCAAGGGGGGGGGGGGGGAGGGAAGAGGAAGGGATTTTACGAACGTTGAACATCGCGCGTGACGATGCGAGTCCGCGAATAAATATAGTATGGCGACCGGACGTACCGAGAACACGGTGGCGATGATATATCAATATAAATGCAACCTCGAACGAGAAACTACTACGCAACGCGCAATTTTTCGAGTCGACTGTTTTTACTTTCTTTTTTTACGCTCCAGCCCTCCCTCCCGTCCTCCCGTTCGCCGTTGCGTTTCGATGAGAGGCGACCGGGAGGAGGGTTTGGACGAGCCGGATGGTTTCACAAGCGCTGAAAGTGACGATGTAAAAGCTGATGGTTGTAAAAGCTATGGCGGCGGAGGGTGGAAGATAAAGAGAGGCGGACACAGACACAGAGCGGGACGGTCGTTATACGATGCGATGAGAGGCGGGGTGAGAGACGGGATGAACGGAAAAGGGACGCAAGGGAGAGACGGGAAAGACACGCACGTATACACCACGGGGCGAGGAAAGGGTCGAAACGGGGAGGGGAGGGAGGGAGAGGAGGAATGCGGGGGATCGATAATTCCCGTATATATTCACTCACCTCATATACATTCGGGTGCCAAACTTTTGTCATGAAACGAATGCTCGGTGGACTGTACGGATAATCCGGCGGGAACTTCATGTGTGCCTGAAACATAAAGAAAATCGAACACGGTCAATCATACATCGACTCGAGATATAACTCTCGCTCCCGACTCCGGCGTCGGGACACCCACGCATAGTCTCTACGCATCTTTATCCTGGGGATTGGAACCGTTATAATTTCGTACCGAGTTCAATATCCACGACACATGCGAAAAAAAAAAAAAAATGTACCCTACGTTCAGCCATTGTCACGAATCAACGTGGGAAACGATTTCTGTCTCGAAATTCGAACCCGCTGAAATTATACCGATTTTAATACCTGCCTATACGAGTCTTTAAAAAACTGGTTCCTTTTCATCGAGAGAGCGTTCATGCGCTCTTCGTATAATTTCAAATAAACTCTTAGTCAAAGATAAAATGCAAAGTTAAAAAAAATATTGCAATCAACATTGTTCTCCTCTTTCCCACCAACGAGAGACGTTTACATTGATATATATATATATATATATATATATAAATCGATCGAATCAATGCGGTAGAAGCGAAGCGCTCCGTATAATCCACGAATAAAGACATAGGACTCTCTTCTCTCCGATGCTGCGAAAGTGGAGCAACATGGCTGTCTAGCACGTAGCCGATATAACAAGGCGAGAGATGTAAAAGAGAAGATTGGGACGCGAGCGCGACGTCGATGAGATTTGGCATTTCGATCGAATTCAGAATCTCCAGGCAGTCGCGACGATATCGATTTCCATTCCGGAGCGCGAAAGGGGCATCTGGCGTTCGATGCAGGCTTCGCTTCGTCGGGACGCTATATTGATCGCGACCTGGTCATGGCCCAAATATCCACCTCGTCCTCCGGGATAACCGCGTTCTAGAATTAACCTACTTTCTACTGTGACTACAAACTCGCGGTGTCACGAAAATTCTACTCGGAACGGTCGACGTATATTTGCAAGCTGATACGTCGTCGCTTTGAAATTTCTGTTACACACAGGCGATCTTTCTCGATTTTTCTCATTCAAATAGAGGCGGTTCATTGAAAAGATTATTTTTTGTTCATCTTTCGTAATGCGATAAATAATATTTGACATAACTTTTGCTATGATTTTTTTCTCAATGAAAAATGAAAAATGATTCGTTTATTTTATTCATCGATATTTAAGTTGCCTTGTACGGAGTGTGAAATAATGTAAACGCGTCGAGTTTTCCGATGCGATACCGCAATATCGATCACGACTATCAGCGTGCGATCTTGCATGACATTGTCAGGAGAAATATTCCGAGAATTGTCCATAATGCAGGCTTTCTATTTTTACAGCATAGAGATTTCATATGTCAACGTTTCGTATGTATATTGTACACGTATAAAAGTCGCTTTTTTATGCGAGAGAGATCGCGATTTTTAAGGATTTTTACAGATTGCTCCGGTATGGAACTATCACTTCGTCGTCTTTCGTCGCAACTCCACCGCGTGACCTACAAATTTTCGCGACCTACTTCGACAATAAGCACCGCTGGTCATCGTAACACGACGTTGTGTAACATGAGGTAGATGGCGACTTTTGAAACTATCGAATCGAGTCACGCCTGATCGATTTGATCAAACATTTTTACAAACGGGACTGCCATTCGCTCGAAAGTTATTTTACGAGATTCAATTTAGGAATAACGGAAGAGGCAATAAAAAAATATATAATATAATTTATTTCTGACGATAGAGAAAGTTTATGAAGTACATCAAAGAGTATGAAAATAAATCGACTCAGTTTCATTTATCCATCAAGTCTATATATTTTTATGCGTCAATAACTATGATAATTTAAATATTTTTCGTTCTATTCGTTTCATTTTTATCGGATAGAATTATATATTATACCTTACATATTTGTATCTATGTATAATCTGTAATTTGTGAAGATTTCTTTTCGTATAACTTTATCTCACAATTTATGAGAATAAAGGAAAAGACGAAAATAACTTTTTTCTTAGCAAAATTTCTTTTATACGAAGCTTCGTTTTCAAGTTTAAAATCGATTTTAAAACTTGGAAAATTAATAACGTATTTACATTCTTTAAGCTTGAATAGTTTCTAATAACCATATCATATATTATCAGGTTCGTCTCAATAATTATTGATACATAAAGATAAAAGTTCATCACATTTAGTAAAACGATTTAAGATATCAAGGTATTACTAAAAATAGTTGTATACATAAAAAAATTCACAATAAATTTTTTATTTTTCCAATAATGAAAATTTTTTCATAGATATTTTAATAACTACTATGAAAATAAATTTGATAACATATAATACAAGATCGTTAAAAATCGTTCGATTTAAAAAAGCATAAATATATTACTAATCTTCCAATTTTCAAAATCAATTTTTTCGAAAATTTTATATTATTTTCAACATTTTCGATTTATTAAGTTATGATTCATTCGATGAGTAAATGTTTTCTATCGAAATTACAGGACCGAATACATTGGCAATCACGTCTTCCCATAATTTCTGTATCGACTATCGATTTAGCAATTGTATAATCGCGAAAATTCTTGATACTCGCGGGACTCCCGCCATGTCTTCGCGAAGTGAAAGGATAAAGTCCGATCGAGAGACGGACTTTGTGGAAAATGACACGACGAAGTCTCCGCGTTCAATGATTTCAGATCGACATTTCGTGCAACGACGAGACGGATCGGCGTATATTCGTCTTAAACGGAATGAGATTAGGTGAAAGTCGGTTGGCCGTGCCGATCGGTAGGGCCTGCTTGCACCCAGGAATAGAATCGAGACAACGCTCGATGGCATTTTATGTAACTTGGCAAGCCGCACGTTGCGCTCTTCGCCTTTTATCGCGAGCCGTGCATAAATTCTGGTCAAGGGGCTTTCTGATAAATAGAACGTGATCTCTTTGTAAAAACATATTGCGATCATCATTACGATCGAACGAATATAAGAGCCAATATCGTATAATGCTATTAAAATGCGAATGAGATGTTGATATTTAAGTGGTATTGCGAGATATACACATAACTCGAACACACATAGGGTCATGAGAGGTTCGAAAACAGTTTCCGCGTTTGAAATTTTCCGTTTCACTTTAACAGGCAATGTCCGTTAAAAATGAATGAAGGCGACGTAATCCGATCAAATTGCGCGCATGCACAATTCATTTAGCGTTGCATTTGTATTATCGGCACGCATCGCTCAATACAACGCTCTCCTCCGATTCTGATAAGCCTCGATTGCGTCACAATTACGTTTCTAGCTACGTAACATTATCATATCTCTATCAAGTATAATTCATCCCCAAGGTTTATGCAACAAAAGAGAAAGATTATTTTATAATTCGAAGGCTATATATTTAATAAATGAAAATATTTTTATAATGAAAAAATTCATCTCAAATTTACGGGAGAAGCTATAAATAAAAGAAAATATGTAAGAGAGAGAGAAAGAGATCCGTCGTACTCTCTGGACAATGATACGCAAGTACGTAAAGTTATTCATTCACGAAGATACTTCAAACGTGGCGTAAGATGAAAGCGATTGTTTACCTGAGCACATAGCGAGCATTCACCGGTTAAGGGATAACGCGATTACGGTATAAAGTGTGGATATAACATATTAATCCACGGTGGACGCAGTCTTTCGAAATATAACCACGCAGAGAGGCAATTTTACGTGTATATACGGTGTACACGCGGTTTTACAAGAAACACGCGCGACGCTCGTTACCAGTGGTTACGTTGTGGGAAGATACATTGCGTTACGTGAATAGGCGTTCACTCGCGTTCACGACGAGGCAGAGAGTGGTTTAGAAAGCGGACACGACGACGGGACATGCAAAAAAAAAAAA